GCCTGGGTTTGGCTGTTGCTTGAGGATATTGTTTTTTTCACAAACGTCGTTGAATGATCGTCGAGTCGATTCTTCTGCGATTCTTGGTATAGCCAGGCTAGAGCGTTCCCAGATCCTTACTAGAGGAAGTCGTCGAGCATAGCGATCTTTCATTAAGAAGTCTAGCACTAATTTGGCGCTACCGAAAACATGGGAGTTTTCGTTAGCCAAGCTGGAGTAAACTAGCAATCATACCCCGTACTTCTGTCTAGGCGGAGCTCCTTCCTAAGCTTCTACCACCTCATCTATCTGGAATGTGTTGCGTCCCCGAATTTCCATTGAAATAAGTCAGTTATTTTCACTTTCACCAAATACGAAAGTGTTAAGTGGATCTCGAATAAATTTTAGCAAATGATTCTGACGAATTCTAACAAATGTCCTGTCAACACCTTTTATGCAGAGACAGAAGCAAATCCCACCAGCAACGCCCATTTCAACATCCCCGCTGAGGCGCTGCTTTCCACAGAGCGGAGCTTCAAACTTTCCAAATTTTTCCATACTCATATCTTTTTTTGCTTTCTGTTTTCCTAGTAATCACAAGGTTATTTTCGTGAGTTGCATTCGTATGTGTGATATGTATGTGCAATATGAATGTATCTGCCCTATTTAAAAGTTATGTAAAGGTCGCATTTACGTTTCTTTAACCTCACAGAATTTTATTGGAAGGATATGCTCCATTTACTTAAAAGATATTTTTTGTAGCTTTATTCCATTTTATTGAAAAGATGACCGATTTGAGCAAAACGTCTTTAAAACTGTTTTTTTAAGTTACGTTATTTCTAAATTCATTGTTTTTGTGCTTCTCTTTGCGCCCTTGGAGATGTGCTGATGATATAAAGAATTCCCTAATCAGATAGAGAATTCTCTATCTGCATAACTAATACAGGATTCGACAAGTGATATTTATGTTCTTTATGGTTCAAGTTTGGTCTACAACAATAGCTCCAGTCTGTTTACAGCTCAAGCCGAAGAGTGCAGAAAATTCCGGAATCTTCTATAGAAGATGAAATATACTGTAACACGCGCAAAGTTATGCAGAGTGCTGACAGCGAAGTACATTACTAACAGCGAAGTACTGTGGAGCTGGATTTTTTACTGGAAAAAATTGTTTAGTAGCAGATTCTCGCATGAGAAACGAAATAGAGTAGACAGACTGCTTGAAATAGCAATACACGTCGTAACACGATTATTAGTGGAAATAATAGAGATAATAATAATAGTAATAATAATAATAATAATAACTACAATGGTGCCGAGATATTTGCAAAACTGCGGACCACAGGTGTCTGCGGTGGAGAACGAACGCGCTATTACAATTCCCGGGGGCTAACGCGTTCACCACCACACCATGCGGGTCCTTCATTTCGTCTGTCTCACAGCCATTTTTTCTAATAATAATAGTAATAATAATAATAACAGGATTGATTGCGAAACCTTCAAGTTACAAAGCATGTTTGACGAAGACTCACCTAAAACAAATACTAAAATATTCCTAGGAAGTAAAATACCAGTGTATATATGAATCCGTAAATGGCCGAGTTAGAATCGCGACTGTCGTCATCTGCCAGCCATTCACTGAATGGATGTTGCTGTTCTCACTAGGGCCCGAACGCAGTGAAGGAATCCATTTCGCTTCTTCTGCTGTTGGCAGTCATTTGGCTTCGGACAGACTTCACTTATTGCAGCATTGATTGTAACAGTATGCACTATTCTTTCATCTACTATTCATTATATTAGGTTAGCTTTCGCAGCCACAAGAACATTATGCATCGGCTTAACAACATTCAGCCCTCCTGTGAGCGATTTCTCACTGTATATTGAAAACTTCCAAATAGTAAATGATTACTCATAAAATATATCGCACAGCAAATGTTAAACTTCACCAGAATTCTCCGTTGTTGATCGCGTATGAAGTACTGTGGATGAAGTGGTCAATCCCCAGAAGATTGGAGCGCTTGCAGAGCAGTGGTTGAAGGTGCCCTATAATACAGACGTGCTTATTGGTTCGATCCACAGTCCCGGGTTCACCAAGCCTTCTATTGCTGCGAGGTCGGGAGATTGGTGCTAAACTTGCCAGGGAAGATAAGAAACTCTGACCTGGTGCATCGGAAGGCCACCGTTAGTCATTGCGCAACCTAAGTGCCTTCAATCACCTCTACGGTGCTTAGTGATGTCGAACGCATGGTGCATCGCTTAGGGATTGATGAACGCCTAAGGCTTCATCCCTTTTATCCTTTTATCCTTTAGGTCGTCAAATCTTCTACAAATTGCGAATAAGAGTTTGTTTTTAGCAGCGACTTTTCCTCTTGGACAAGCTTAGACAATAAAGGTTTTCGCTTCGACAAGAGCGAAAACAGCTATCTTTTATAACCTTTAAATCAAGGGAGAAAATTTCTTAAGCGACATAAACTACCTAGCAACGTACAGGTGTTGTTCTTTTAAAAAAAAGAAAAGAAAAAGCTCTCACGTCCGACATTCTAAGAAAGAACCTCGGCATTGATTGAATAATTCTTTCTGCTTTTGTTTAGCAAACACGAGTTGTTATTTTATTTCTCTATTTACGTGCAAGCTGACTTTTCGGCGGATTTCGCCTTTCTCAGAGCCTGGAAAGGTCAACTCAGTTTGTACGTAAATAAAGAAATAAAATAACACCTCGTGTTTGCTAAACAGAAGTAGAAAGAAAAAACACTATTCAAAGACGATAATAGAAATACGAGGTTGACTCATTCAGGTTTAGTAATACAACTAAAACCAAGTGTTCCAACGTTTAGATCCAGCTCTACTTCGCAAAACATTTAAGTAGCATAAAAATGAATGCATTAAGTCTATTTTCTGGGTGCGTGCTGCACATTGATTGAGGGCGCCTAGCAACATCCACTACTCCGACTCCGCGCCTGAGCTGATCAAGATTTAATCTCTGCAGAGTCAACAAATTGGTACTAGACTTGCTTGTAAGGATAACGATACTGAGTGCATGCATCGGTAAGGCGCTCCAAGTAATTATCCTAGTCAAAGAGGCAATCATTCACTTCTAACGATGCTTGATAAAGTCGAATGCATCGCTCATCACTCAAGGATTGTCCAAAACGGTCTACCCTACTAACTTTTCAGCTCTCTTCTAAAAGACTATCAAATTCGCAGCGCTTCCTTCCCTCTAATTGTTGAAAAGCAGTTGGCAGTTTTCAAAAAAGCAACGTCGAGAGCTAAGAGTTAACGTGTTCACTGAGACAACTAATAACCTTCTAATCTGCCAATTTGCGTTTTCTCAACACAGCAACGTCATGATAGGATTATGAAGATCGTTAGTAACCAGATATTATTGTCGTAACTAACGTTTCTTAGTGATAATCTGATTCTGATGTTTATGAAGATTCGACATCAACAAATTAAATTTGTCAAGTAGTCCTAATTGTATAATGCTGAGATATTTGCAAAATCTCCGGACCGCAGGTGTCTGAGGTGGGAACGAACGCCCTATTGTCCTTTCCGGGGAGTAACGCGTTCACCACCACACCATGCGGGTCATTCGTTTCGCCTGTCTCTCAGCTAGTTCTATCGATTTTTTGCCATTAGCAATCACCCGTTAACGGGATTGGTCTGGCACAGCATTATACAGGCTGCATTTCGCAACATACCCTGCTGTCAAAAAAGAATAGGCAGTAAATAAAAAAGGTTGAGTCCTAATTGTCATTAATACTAGCTAGTTTGAAGCAAAACTAACATAGTTTGAACACGTATACTCAGATGGGTCAGGATTTCTCGTGACATAAGCAACGGAAGATCAACTATAAAATCTTATAAAATTCCTATGAAACCAATCATTTCCACTGGCATAGAAAGAAATATGATTTTAAAAAGGGTTTGCTGCAGCGTTTGTAACAAATTCACCATACTGCTATCTGAACACAATTCCACCGTCTCATAGCGGATATTCCGGATTTGGAGCTCGGCTATAGGGGCATTTCAGCCATGGTCGTCAACCCCTTGAACGACAAATAGATACGGGCACTGTTCTTGTCTCCATCATTTCTCCACTCATTGCCACGAGTTAGGGTGAAAATGAGCTGCAATTCTTCAGTTGTGCACTATATTGGAATTTTTAAAACAGAGTAGAGTTGGAAACTTACAAAAATAAAGTTAAGCAGATTTAGCTCTATTTTTGCCTTTAGGACACACAAAGAAAATTGCGCAAGCGACCGAAAGAATTGTTAAAAGCAGTGCACCCTGAAAACACAGCCCATTATAGCTTATTCGATGACGTTTCTGGTATCAAGGAGTAATGTACCAAGCCCTTGTGATCGCACCAACAAATATCCATAAGTATCAGGCTGTGTTATCTGTGTTATCATCAGTCAAAACCTTCAACGTGACACAGGTGTAGTGTGCAGTACAACTTTGTCAAATAAAGAGCACGGCTCTCAGTACCTTGAACGGTTCTACATTATGCCAATTTTCATTCAAATGTTCTTCCCTCTTCCCCTCCCTACAGCACAAAAACCCGAAATTTTTCAGGTGCAGCTAATATAATCACTTGCCTTCGTAATAACTTTTAGAAACTATTGAGAACTGTTTCTATTTTTAGAAAATTTTCCCTTCCACTTAGCCAAATTCAAATGCCGTAAAAGCCTTCATTCTAATAGAGTGACAATGGCACAGCTCTGCTTCATTTCTACTGTTTGGGTTCAATACATTGCACCACGTAGCACGTAAAAAACTTAGCCAATTTGCGGATGAGACAGGCTGTTTCTATTCTCGAATCTTATTGCTATGGTATACTTTGTCATACTTCACAAGGAAAAAGCCATTTCGAATTTCGAAATGGAAGACTGCTTGGACAACTTTTACGACGTTGTTTAGACGATGCGAAGCTGTGATGGCACTGCTATTGAAAAGATCACATTAGTAACCGTGGAGGAATTTCTCTCTCATTGTTTGCAGTGAAGTGAGCAATGGCCTAAACAATGGTGATTGGCCTTCTTGGTCTCACAATCGATGAACTCCAGACAGGTTGCTGACATAGTTCATTTCTGGACTCTGCACCTTCAACACTTCCTTCTGCTCCTCATATCGTATGCTTTTCTTCTGTCGCCTTTATGCACGCTCCGTTTCCTTAGAATTTGCTGCTCCCTTTTTCTTATTGCACGAAAAACTCAGTGAAATGAAAGCGATCGTTCAGTACTGGTGTGAAGTCATGTCACGGCAGTATCACTGGCGTAGTAAGCCTTTGGATTAATAAAGATGTAGTTAATCAAACCTTTTTGTGCTTTTGGCCAAGAGATTCCCACGTTCAATACCAAGAGCTGAGCTTTTAGAAGTTGATGCAATTATGGTCCAGGGCGATTTGATGAAGTCAGACCATCTCCAATCCCACCCATGGCATCTCTTTATGTGGGCTATCATGTCATATTCTCGATGAGTTCGCCGACAGCCAAACTTGGTGTAGTTGTTCCTTGCTGGGTTACTGTAGAATAGACATGAGGCTTTCTTCTAAAGGCACGAATATTGTACGTTCTGATTTTGAGAATTCCCAGAATATCGAATGCTACCATAATGTGACTTTTGCACCAAAGTTTGCAGACAATTAGCGGAAGTTTATAGCACCCAATATCATCGTATGTTCGTTGATAATTCAGTGGGCGATGCGAATTTATTCGTGATTGCGTAGTTTGCCGCCGGTATTCCAGAAAAAGTAGCCCGCTTGAATTCAGGTATAATATGAACGCTGTCGAGCTGGTTTTTCTTGCTTGTTGCGCCGTTGCACTTTTCTCAGTCACTCACTCCTCTGCAATAGGCGAACAAAGTGAGTTTTTTCATAGTTCAAAAGACCGAGTTCTATAAACCTCGGCATAAATGGTTGCTATATTTATTTACATGATCTTATAAACTGATCTTGTTGAGCTGATATGAGGTTGGTATAAGTTTTCGTTGTCGTTGTAGTTGTTGTTGTCGCCTTCGTTGTTCCTGGTATTGTTGGCCGATGGCTGACGTATCGATGATTTCGCCTTTCTCGGAGCCGTGCTTTTACGAGTCGGGCTTGTGGGAGCAATAGCAGGGATCCGAGGAAGACGAAATCGTCGAAACGTCAGCCATTGACCAACAAGACCAACGGCAACGACTACAACGACAATAATAGTAACGACAGAGGAAACTTAAAGCAACCTCGCATCGTCAAGCTCAACAGGACCAGTTTGTAGGATCATAGAAATAAATTGGGTTTTATTTGAGTTCTATATCAATATTTTTTTAAACATTAACTGCAACGCAGTTATGTCATTGGGTGGTGTTTACCATCATTTTTTCAACGCAATTGCTCCATTCATTGAACACTATGATGACGACCTTTTAGCTTCTATACCAAAACAAAAATGGCAGTAAAATTGATTAAAATACGAGTTTCCGGCGGGACTTTTTTACTATGGAAATGAAAAGTAGGGATAAGTTTCTTGTGTCTTGTCTGTGCTACAAGCCTACCTCGTGGTCGTAGAAAAATTCTACGGAACAGAAGAGTGTAAAGACGATCCTCTTACGAAAATGGAGAAATTTTTCTAAAGTTTGGAAGATAAACTAAAGATTTTCACCTTAAATGAACAAGAATTAAAGAGAAAAGTGGAGCTTGTCCACACTGGTGGAGGTCCAAGCTAAATATTTTTTTGCATCATTTTTAATTGAAGTAAATGAAGAAGTAACGGAGTACTTTAGGGTCGGCTGAACTGAGTCCAGAGGACATAGAGCAAGAACAAGAATACTTCCAGAACCTTCGACAAGTACCAGTAATTGGCAAGTTGTTCGCAACGCTTCAGTGCATAGTAGTGGTCAACGGAAGAAAGAAAAATCTAAGAAAGCTTGACAATATAGTTGTTACTGGTCTGCAAAATATTTCACAGAGTATACGGCCGGCGTGTGCCGCAGTGGTTGGAGGCGCCCTGCAACACGGACGTGGAATCGATCCCTGCGTCCATGGCCCGCCAAGCATTCTCCATCCTTGTAAGGTTGGAAAATTGGTACCCGACTTGTCTGAGAGGATAGCATCACAGGCTCTATACATCGGTAGGCCATCGCGAGTCATTGTAAAGGCCATGTATGCATTCAATCACCACCAAACGACGCTTGATGAAGTCGAATGCATGGCGCATCCCTCAGGAAGTAATCAACGCCGAGAGTTTTATCCTTTATCCTTTGTACGGTCGGAGGGTTGGAGTAATTTTATGGTCACATTCTGTGAGGATTTTTTGTTGCAGCATTTATTTGGTTTTTCAGCCATTACTACTGTCAATGGTGCCATGACGGCAAAGATAAAAAGAAGATGGCTCGTCAACTGTGGAGTAGCCCACGTAACGATATAAATCCAGCCATTAATTAATTGAAAAGAAATCGATGACTAGTTTTGAGCTTAGGAACGTAGCAATTTTTTTTTAGCAATTCATGAAAATCACCATTATCCTGGCAGGTATAAAGCAGTAGCTCTTGGTTCATCTCCACACAATTTGAATTAACCTCCAGTGGTCGTAAAGCAGTGAAAGTGTGCTTCGTGGAGGATTATTTTTTGAAGTAAAAGTACTACATCCTTCGATAAATGGAAGAGATTTGTTGAAAAAGACTCCCTTCTAGCTACTTATCTTGTTTGTGGTAGAAAAAAAATGACTTATCTTTGTCTTCATATCTTGAACCGTGAGGGTGCAATGGTCGGAGCAGCCCTGCAATACATACGTGGAATCCATTCCTGTGCCTATGGCCCACCAAGCCTTCCATCCATCGGGGGACGGCGAACAGGCACCAGGCCTAGCTGGGAGGATAGCAGCACAGGCTCTATACATCGGTAGGCCATCGCTAGTCATTGTAAAGGCCATATATGCATTCAATCACCACCAAACGACGCTTGATGAAGTCGAATACATGGCGCATCCCTCAGGGATTGATCGACGCTGAAAGCTTAATGCTTTATTATATCGAACTATATGACATGAAACAGTAACACGAATCCTCGTTTGATTAAACAGTGTTATGAACTGTGAAGTAAAAAACTGCTATTATTTCTGTTATTCAGTTTACTAGGCGAGTAGATTGAAAAAAAGACAGAATACACTTTTTGCAGAATATGAACCTTTGGCGAAGCGAGCTCAGACGTTTGTCCGATTCGGCAAACGGGCACAAACATTCGTCAGGTTCGGAAAAAGAGCACAGACGTTCGTCCGATTCGGCCGATCGGCGCCGACGCAGATGTAGGATCGGCAGGATGAGTGCTAGCAAATCCGCCCACGCCTTCATCGGTAGTTCGTGAGCACCATTAAATCAAACCACCCTACGATCTCAGACGAAGATTTCTAGAGAAGATTTCGTCATTGTCATGTAATGAATGTTAGTGTGAAAAATGTCGACCAGTGATAAGGCTGGATCTTTTGAAACCTAAAAATACTTTTTTTTGACGCATTAGTGGATTCAGTTAAATTTTTCATGGTATCTTTGAATAAAGCAGTCTTGTTTGTTTGCCCTAAATTCATTCCTATCAATAAAACGGAAAGTGAAAAACGTTTAAATACATCATAAATGAATATTATGAACGTCAGTTTTGAAGAATATTGCTTTGCTATATGCTAGCTGGGGCGCGTGTGGGGCAGTGGTCGAAGGCGCCCAGTAATACACATGGAGACGATCCTCGCGCCAAAGGCCCACTAAGCCCTCTATCTCTGCGAGGTTGGAAAATTGGTACCAGACTTGTCTGGGAGGATAGCAGCACTGGCTCGAGACATCGGTAGGCCACCGCGAGTCATTATAAAGGCCGGATATGCATTCAATCACCTCCAACGTTACTTAATGAAGTTGAATGCATGGCGCATCTCTCAGCGATTGATCAGCGCTAAAAGCCTTATCATATTTTAACTTTTATAGAGACAATGGGGGTAATGCTGCCGTCGTTGATCAATCCTTGAGTGATGCGCCATGCATTCGACTTCATTAGACATCGTTGAAGGTGATTGAACACATATTTGGCCTCTACAATGATTCGATTCACGGTGGCCCACCGATGTATCGAGCCAGTGCTGTTATCCTTTTAGGCAAGTCTCGAACCAATTTGCTGACCCCGGAGGGATGGAAAACTTGGTGAGCCTTGGGCGTGAAGATCGATTCCACATGTGTGTTGCAGGGCGCCTCCGACCATTGCACCATATGCGCCCTTAACTTTTATATGCTAGCTAATGCAGTATTGACTACTGCAAGATACTATGCCTTCATGAAAACAGATCATATTGGTTGACAATAGGAGGTGATCGAATTTGAGCATAGATTTCGATGTTGCCGAAGAATCTGTCTTTCTTTTTTTGGTAAGCTGATTGCTGGTTGACTGAGAGTGCTCCTGGAATACCAAATTGTCATTTTAATGCGTTCCTAACTTTTCATGTAGTCCCTTGCTCTTGCATATAAGGAAGAATTTGGGTGCCTTAAGACTAGGATTCTTCTAGGACAACACTAATTGTGGAACATCTCCTGTGATTGGACGTTTCAGCTATCGAGCATGATGTAACGTACTGAATGTTAAATTAAAATTTTTAAAATAAACAAATAGATGAATAGGGAAAGTAGTGTCGTGCGACTTGTAGACCGCCAACATTCGATGTAGTAAACATCTGTGCAAACATTCGAAGTAGGTTTTCGCAGGTACGCTGAGTCGTGAAATCAATCTAGTTGAGGCTCTGAAGAGGTAATCTCAAACGTTGCTGCGATAGAAGTTTTTGTAAGAACCTGCTGCCACCTTAACCATTTAATGAGCACAGCCACTTCGTTTATTGGAACCATGGGACGGGTATAATGGGCGTACAATCGAAGTTTGCATTGATATCAAGATGTGACCTCCGTGAACCCTTGCAAAAGCATATCGAACCGCTTTCTCAAAGCGACAGTTCTATTACTCGGCTTCTTTGGGTAATACCTGCGTCTCTCTAACTTTTGCATCTCCGATATGATCTTTTGTGTACCTTCTCATGTTCCTAGACACTGTATAACGCACTGAGGGCAACTATCCATGAACTAGCTACGAGACAAAATCTGCAATCAACAGCTGTCCATTAACAAATAAAGTGAAATAATAACAGTAGGGCACGATATAACGACATTGCTTCAATAATGAAGTAGTAATTATAATTGCTTCTCAGCAGGTGCTTGTCATTCTTTCAAAGTTTTTAAATAATCAGGGCATCTTTCAGTCGCTTAAATTTCCAATATTAAATCTGATTTCGAAATATAGCTTGCTCCGTTAACTGTGAACTTTAATAAAATTGAGTTATTATCCAGTTATGCAAAAAGTCAGACAAAAATAAACGAAAGAAAAGAAACTGTGGGAACATTTTGGAAAGCTCTAGTGCAGTAAGAAAGAAGTGACGTAGGCAGACCTCACCAATACGGTAGATTACGTTTGTTTTTCTTTTATCATATTTCAGTAAATTCATAAAACGGTAATGCCGTTATGGTTATATAAATGGCTAGCTGGCAACACTCACTTTTACGAGGATCAAGTGTGCCTTCCACAACAATTATAACATTCAATAACTGTAAACAAAATATTGAAAAAAAAACATGAAAAGTAATTAAATAGGAGAGAAGAGCGAAACGAAGGACCCGCATGGTGTGGTGGTGAACGCATTATTCCCCGAAAGGACAATAGCGCGTTCGTTACCTACCGCAGACACCTTGCAAATATCTGAGCATAATTATAGATGTTTTGGTTTGAAAGCGAGAGGTGATGTCTCGCTTTAATAGAAGGTGAATGACGACATTACCATTAGATAATGGTGGAGAGCTGAGTTGATTACTTGGTGTAGTGTAGACCTCATGTTTCTTTCCTATGTACTACTTTGAATGATGAGTTCTCGTATCACCAGTGAGCTGTTCCTTAGGCATCGCATTGTTTCGTATTTGCATACTCTTTCTAAGAGTTAATTTCTCCTCAATCAAAAAATAATGGAAAATTTAGCCATAATGATGTTGAGATATCTGCAAAACTCCGGACTGCTGGTGTTTGGAAATTCCCTGTCGATGCTAAAACGTATTCTTCGTTACCTGGTAAAGTTTATAACTTAGTCAGCTAACACATCATCGGTTAGTAAAACGTTGACTAACGTTGCCCATAAGCTACTCGCTTCAGAGTCTGCTTTTGCTCAATTATCTCGACGAAGCAGAAGGGCAACAAGGTTTACTGTGAAGGGCGAGCGACAAATCGGATTTCCGCACAACAACGGCGGCTGCTCTTCACCTCAGACACGACGACCTCTTCTAGCCTCTCAGCTTCGCCTCCTCTTCACTCACTTCAATCCGTTCTAGGTCTAATGCTTCTATAAATTACGTTCAGATTTCATTTATCGTTTCTCATCCATACTAATTTTAATAGTGCATTTTACAACGCTTATATCTACCCCACAAATGATATTAGAAGATCACTGAAACAGATTTAAACTTAATCAACATGGTTTAATTGCTAGCGTCAAAAGCAGCAGAAAAAGTAATTAGTGAGAAAATCACTTAACATCTGTGACAATTCTTTTTTATATCTGCTACCCGTGATGTCACTTTCGAATAGGCTAAGGCGCGCCAGATTAAAGCGATAAGGGATAAAGATGAAAACGTCCGGCGATGATCAATCTCCGAATGATGAACCATTCAATCTCTCCATTATGAATCATAGAATCCCCATTATGTAGGTCATATAACTTTAAAATTTTTATCAATAATTCGCTTAAATTTCATTATAATTGTTACCATAATTTGCAACTGTTGTGCTGATGAACATTACCGAGATACACTTAGCATCGGTTCCACAACACTTCCAAATGCTGACGGCAGCGTGTTTGGATGGTGAACGATAGCAAAATCTAGCAAATGATATGTATAACGATAATACGCTTGGCTCGCATCTGAAAAACTAAAGCTTCTTCTATAAGAAATTAATTTATTAACCCCAAAAGTCTGCTATCTATCGAAAATCTATTATATACTGCCGAAAAAGAAACCAGCATTACCGTGTTTAGATCGGTTTTTTGTGCACACCACTAAATTAACAAGTGTCGATGCCCCAACAGCGGCCACGCAAATTTGAAAGTCCGACCTCGTGTGGAGGCAATTGAATTAGTCCATGCGTCGTTTTCTTGTTCAGCAATCGCGAGGTTTTTAAACAGCATACATTTACTTCCATAGAAAGACACAATGCAATGCAACGCTAGGTGACGTTTCGGTAGTATCGCCTTCTTCAGAGCCGCTTTTTCGTGACTTCCAATGAGGAAGTTTAGAACAGCTGATTATAGTCGCATATGATTGATGACTGCACCGTCCCACATCAAAAATCGATGCGAACATACGGGATCAGGTCCCGTATGACCTCCGGGCATTCGCCCCTGCTATTCATTGTAGGGTTCTTGGCATTGTTACTGAAGCGTTTGGCCTAGTAGACTGTATATCAGCATACCCTTCCAGGCTCTGAAGAAGACGATACTGCCGAAACGTCAGCTAGTGTTGTATTGTATTGTGTTTTTCTATGGAAGTAAATGTATGCTGTTTAAAAACCTCGCGATTGCTGAACAAGAAAACGACGCATTCATATTCCAATACAGAGGTTAATAGTCAAGTGAGTGATCTTATAAACCCAGACAGGTCTAGTGCCAACTTTTCAACCTAGGAAAGGTGCCGCTGGGTTATCCTCCAACGCGAGATCGAAGCAACACACCGTGTTTTTCAGCGTGAGCCTGTTCTGTCTTAACTGTTAGACGACTTACTTTAAATGCGCCAGAAAAAAAAAACCATGTGGACTAGCTAAGAAAGTAATCGAAAACGGAAAAAATACTCAACTCTCATCTCATGTTTCGCTCGTATCGTTTACGTGGGAATAAAACCATCGGCGTTGACCAATGCCTGAGGTATGCGCTATGCATTCCACTTCATTAAGCATCGTTGGAGATGATTCAGTTTATGTGCGGCTTATACAATAACTTATGGTGCTCTACCAAAGTCTCTAGTCAATGACAATATCCTCCCAGACAAGTCTAGTGCCAATTTGTCCATACCTGAGTGATGGAAGAATTGATGAGTCCGGGTGAACGGGGTGGAACCAAGGAGCCGTGTGTATTGCAGAGAACCTCTAACCACTGCGCTACACACGCCTGCAATATATACCTAACAATATATGAGAAACGATGAATTGCAAGACAGCGTGAAAATGATTTTTTGTTCCGGTAATGCAATAGGCTTTGAAGAAGTTTTAATTTTACCGTATTGCTACATTTGAGCACTGAAGGCCTTTTTCATCTCCTAACATCCATTTACCTTACGGCTTCTAGGGAAGACTTGTAAACTACTACACAAATCAAGAGGAGCTTGTGAAGTGGGAGCTTCAAAAACTCTTGGCATCCGAAGAAACATCGAAACAAGAAATGCAGCAATTCTAGCGCCACTATTCAATCTAAGAGCTTCAGAGGCAACATACTCATACATCGGTGATCGCTCCAAGGGAGTTAAGTGAGCGTGATAAGGTTTCTAGGATTTGCGAAGGGTGAGAATCGGTTAGGTGCTTTTTTCAGGACAAAGAGATGTAGAGGAGGTGGACAGAAAAAGCATATTCTGTAAACAGTGTAAAGAAAGACGATATATATATATATATATATATATATATATATATACCTTGCATGCCACGCGTGTTATTTCACTATACTGTAAATATATACACTCTTTAATTTTCTTTTTTAACTTTCGAAACTGTTTCACTACCAGGAGAAATTAAAACATGACTGAGGAGAAAGGTAGCACAGCACAGGTAATGCGCTTCTTCTCGTGCACGGTGTTGGTTCTACCTAACACCGCAATCATCAGACCTTTCATCACTACAGGGTTAAGAAAATGGTACCAGGCTTGTTTGCAAGCAATCCACTCTTTGCAATCCAAGTGCGAACGCTTTAGCTCGGCTATTTCAAGATTCCAGGAAGAATGGACTAGAGCAGCATTCAACGACGTTTATGACACGAGGAAAATCCTCAAGCAGCAGTCGAACTCACATAAGATTTTGAAAAGTTTTGTGCATCGTAGCCCGACGTCCAAGAACACCTCGCAGCCGCGATGAGGAGGCAAAACCTTTGGGAGGATGGGATTTCACTGCTTCTTCAGTTGTGAAACAACAATCAAAATGGAGACGCCGGAAGGACGACCGACTTGTCTAGATAACCGTTAACTTCGCATTCCCAGAGTCAGTTCAGGGTGTATTTGAAAATTATGGGAAGTAGTAGCGCTGAAAAGTGGCGGCGTCTCCAAAATGGTCTCATTTCTTCAAGACAGTCCGGCGGAGTCTTGCTCATAAGTTGAGAAATTGATGATTGTATGCGATTACATCTCCTATTATTATACTACACACTTTAAATTCTTAACATTCTATTTGAATAGCTCTAGAAATATTCCTTATTCATTAGTAATTCATCAGTATTTGCCATTCTGCTGCTCTCGTCGATGCGCTATTTAATTAGTTCAACATTTGGAATATCAAATGTTCCAGAAGAACAATGATGGTGATACCAGTTAGTCAACACAAGCTCATAAAAATTCGACGTAAAAACAGATATAAGTTGACCAGACTGGCGCTCTACTGTTCTCTGGGCGCATGCGTCTGCGATATCATTTGTAAGTTTTACAAGAAATAAACAGTTTTATAAAAACACGGACAGATAGGAAGACAGATAGACAGACACACACACACACGACATGCACGCACATACAAAAGTAGAGAAAGAGATGCACAGACACGCGCAAACATACACATACACACACACACGCATACACACGCATACACACACATACACACACAAGCACACAAACAGACACACACATACACATACACACACATACACACACAAGCACACAAACAGACACACACATACACATACACACATACACATACACACAAACACACACCTACACACACATGCACACACACGCATACGCACACACATACACACACATACACATACACACAAACACACACCTACACACACATGCACACACACGCATACGCACACACATACACACGCATACACATACACACAAACACACACCTACACACACATACACACACACACACATACACACACACACACAGAAACGCACACACACACCACACACAAACACACGCACACACACACATGCACACAAACGCATACGCAAACACATACAGGCATACACACATACATATACACACATACAGGCATACACGTATACACACACACACACTAGGATATGTTTGCATAGGACATAGGACCGGTAGTCGCGAATTTTATGGAATATAGTTTATTAAAGGCCAATATCCTTCCAACAGTTTACAGCCTCATCGTGGTTAGTGAGGTGTTCCTGGGTGTTGGGCTGCGATGTACAGCAGGAAGGATTCATCTCACGGCAGGGCCTCCCAAGCTGGGAAGGAGTCCAGCGTTTCCACCAGAAAGCCCAGCTAAGAGTAAACCATTGCCAGGCTCCACCACCGCCCTGGTATCAAACTAGTCGTATGGCGGCAATTCTCGCCCTGATCCACGAGGACGGCGACTGCCTGTGGTGGTGACGATCTGGGGCAGACTTTAGCTATGCTGACCTCGGGAGTCCAGGGAACCAGAATGGCTAAACCAGCAAAACTCCGAAAAATGGACATTATGCTGCGGCCGCACAACCAGTGTGGACATTGGCTAATAACAACCATTTGTGAACCATGTTACAGCCAACGAAATTTGCATCATTGGATGAATTCTAGGAGAAGAAATTCGACTTGGAACATATGGGGGCGTAAAAATGACAAAAGAACTTTTTTTAAAGCTTCATATTGCAACCAGATCCCTGCCAGATCGCTATCAAGGCATCATAAATGAGTTCACAATAAATTTGAGAAAATTCCATGGAGGTGAAAAGAAGAAAATGGCTGCCTACTCATTAAAAATGTTTTTTGGATGAATCATAAGCGAAATTCTAGCATTTCGAAGCAGCGAATAAGCTCGTTTCCTCAGAACTCTAGAGATACCTTGTCTTTCAGGCAGTTCTACGAATAGTTGGCTATACACATCGGAGGTGTTGAAATACTACGTACCTCCGAACAACTCTCAAGCATATGAAGACTCTCAACTCAACGATCCCGTGTTCCTCAAAAACGCCTCGTTTGGACCGTGGCAATACTGTTGGCTTGATCGTGAGTGAAACCGAGAGTGCTAAGAAGTAAAGAATCTCAAATACAGTCATTCCCTGAGCCTAACATAAAAAATAATAACAGATAATGGCGATCACAAGGCATATGGGACAAAGAGGTCGCCGTTCTTCAATCCCTGAGGGACGCTCCACGTCTTCGACCTTACTAAGCTTAGGTGGAGGTGATAATTTGACTTCATATTTACCGTAGAAAACGGCTTTCTGGAACCTGCCGATGTATAAAGTTCGGGTTTCTAAACTCCCAGATATGTTTGCTGACAATTTGTCGACTCCAGAACACGGAGCATTGGGTTTGTCCGGAGCGTAGGATCGAATCAGCCACTACGTTGCTGTCTTTGAACACCACTCAGTGAAAATCCTCAATGAGAATAGCACAGATCATAGTAGCCAACAGGTCTATAACCTATCATGCAATGAAAACTTTTTCTTTATACTTTAAAGCTACCTTATATTCCTCGTTTAAGACTATCAAATTTTTTTCGTGAAGTGATTCTATATCTCTCTGCAAAAGGATTTTAACAAAAAATAAAATAAAGCATCGCATTGGGAAAATTGTTGCAAATCGTGTAGTTAGAAAAGCACAACAGGAGTTGCGAAGCTCACTGGTTAGTGATGCCGTCGACCAGAAAGCAAAGGCGCTCTTCCTACCCCGTCCCAATGCTCTCCTCCAATCCGCGTGAGAACGCGCTATCTTGGTTATCTCCGAGATTGCAAGGAAAATCGACTCGAAGCATTTACGACATTCATAAAGAAAACGAAATCCTCAGGCAACAGCCGAAACAACGTGCAAAAAGTTTGAAGACTTTCGTGGATGATGGGTGCTGCGAAAACGAATCGAATGCAAGAAGTGTTGGGATCCGCACAGTAAATGTGTTCTCTGCAATAGAAGGGATGGCGGGGTAAAATGTGGAAAAAGCGTTGAAACAAATACAGTAGCTTATACATCAAGCAGGTCCTGTCCTTTCTAGGAATTTCAGCTGATTGTTACTGAACTGCACAACGAAAATACAGATTTTCTATCGACATGTTGGTACCTCTACAACGAAAGGAGACCAACAACGCGATATCGCGTCGTCAAAACAATCCGTGCCCCATTTCAGTGGGTAATGACGCCACTCGAAGAGGAGGAAAAGGACATGTGCGTTGACGACAAATTCCACTTAAATTTTCTTTCAGATTACGTCATCGCCATCTTTTTCAGAAGTTTCAGTGAAGCGGCAATGGTGATCAATAGGCTCAACAGAGTTGAAAAGAACGATTAGACCAGGCATAAATCCGAACGAGATGCTCATCAGCTCATGAAGGGAGCAAGGGACAAAGGTGAGCAATTCGAATTAGATGGTTCCTTGATTCCAGAGACCGTTCACCTTGGTCGTTCAACGAACATGAAGTATAACGTATAAAAACGATAAAACAGAAAAAGGAGATTCGCAAGACCCGCATTTGGGTCTATCAAAATGGCTACCAATTACCTTAACGAACCCTTGTCCCTGTATTCACCTCTTTGGCTCAACGATCATTCTAGCGCACAATATAGAAGCGGGTTGATACTTCTGCCATGTGAAAACTGTGGCACCTCAGACAGAGAGCTCTTCAGTGATAAGGATAAAAGGAGAAATCTCCCAACTTGGATCAATCCTGGACGGATGCACCATGCACTCGACTTCATTAAGCATAGCTGGAGGTGATTGAATGCATATCTGGCCTATACAATGGCTGGCCGTGACCTACCGATGCATCAAGCCAGTGCTACTGTCTTCCCAGACAAGTCTGACACTAATTTTTTGACCACGGTGAGATGAAAAGCTTGGTGGGCCACGGGATCGACGAACTATCCCATGTGTATTGCAGGGCGCTTCCGACCACGGCGCTACACGTGCACTTTGATGATGCCTTCTGAAATATAGCAGGCAAACACACCGTGTAGTAGAGCATATTCAAATCTCCAAAACCTACCTTATCTGTAGGAGAATAAACTTCGCTACCAAAGCACAGTGTGGGTGATATAAAGCGAACTAAAGTCGAGAGAAAAACGAAAAGAACTACAGAATGGATTTAAGGAGGATGAAAACATGCAAATGTCAAAAGTCTCGCAGATACTCACTTAGCACCATACTCATACACTATAATCAAAGCACTCATCACCATAGACGACAATCTCGAGGCTAACAAACGGATAAAATGTGCTGTAGCTGACACACTCGTGATAACGGACCGTGCAAGTATTAAAGTACCAGTGAAGTCAAGTGATATAAACAAATAAATAAATAAATAAGAAAAGGCACGAAACCTGGCAAACAGCTCAGGTCAGCTTGTAGACGTGAAAACTGTGTTACTGATTAAAGGTCTATTTCTCAAGTTTTTCTTCCTTTTATTCAAACTCTTGCAGGTTGCTTATTCCAAGTGTTTTCTAGATATTCTTGGACATACCAAATGACAAAGCTTTTCGAAACCGTGGAAACAGTGACATCTGGTTTTACACATGTTGATTAACTGCGCCTACTTTTCGAAATGTCTCATATCACCTTTACAAAATAGTTTTCATCGCCATTACGGCACACCGTAACGTTTTCAAAAGGCACTTTCCTTAAATTTCTACTAAACTTTCATGCATTTTTCAAATTAGCCTTATCACAACACAGTTCTTCATGCACTACCTCTTGCATTTAGCGTTGACCGAGTTTCACTGTAACAGCGTTCAATACCTCGTCGATGAGGATCCAAGTGACGTAACAACATCGGTGCAACGTTGGTTTATTGAAAATTGTTTTAGTTAAAGCCCTCGCCAATGTTATAACCTCGAGAAAAAATTGCCTAGACATGCAATAGGGTCACACCCCTTACGAAGAGAAGTGGGACTAGCTTATTTGAAAAATTGAAAGTATTTAAAGTATAATTTCAATGATGCTGAGATATTTGCAAAACTCCGGGCCGCAGGTGTCTGCGGTGGGAAACGAACGCACCGCAGACACCTGCGTGCTTTCCGGGGAATAACGAGTTCACCACCACATCATGCGGGTCCTTCGTTTCGACTGCCCCTCGGCTAGTTCTATCGATAGCTAAAGGTATTTAAAGCAGTTAGTGAGCTACAACGATGAGTTCCTCAGCAAATTTTTTAGACGCTTCAGCGCTAAAATATTTCCCAAAAAATGCAAAAATGGATCACCTGTAAATTTACTGAGTGGTAGTAAACTTCGTTGCCTGATATGATCAGACGAAATCGCAGCAACTTCAGATTCAATCCGTAGCGCCTTTCTTTTCATGATGTGTGGAGCGGTCCTAGTCGTCATTGGGTTCCTGCTTTCGATCCTGTGTACTCTGCTTCCGAATCCATACTCATCACTTTTCACATGTACCATTATTCACATTAACGCAGGTTTGAAATATTCACTCAAATTCACAGAAAAGTTCGCTGAAAGGAACTAGTTTAGCCATTTTGGTTCACAGGATTCCCGAGGTCAGCATAGCTAAAGTCTTCCCCAGATCGTCACCACCACAGGTAGTCACCGTCCTCGTGGATCAGAGCGAGAATTGCCGCCATACGACTAGTTTTATACCAGGGCGGTGGTGGAGCCTGGCATTGGTTTACTCTTAGCTGGGCTTTCTGGTGGAAACGCTGGACCCCTTCCCAGCTTGGGAGGCCCTGCCGTGAGATGAATCCTTCCTGCTGTACATCGCAGCCCAACACCCAGGAACACCTCACTAACCACGATGAGGCTGTAAACTGTTGGAGGGATATTGGCCTTTAATAAACTATTTTCTATAAAATTCGCGTGTACCAGTCCTATGTCCTTCTGTTCTTTTAAACATTTTCTGAATTTGTTGTGTTTAAAATCAGGAGAAACTTTGTTGTTTAAAATGTTACGTACTGTAACAAATGTATGTAATGTACGTATTGTAGTAGAAAAGGTATTTAAAAGCCGGAAGGACCTTAAATGAGCTTCGCACTTTGACAAAAAGACGAACTAGTCCAGCTTTTCTAGGGGTCATTTAGGTATTAAAACTAATTTTCCGACATTATTTATGCAGTGTTCGCAGTAGCAGTGACTCATATCAGTAATCAAAGATGAAATCGAAAAGACGATTTTCTTATACAAAAATATAAAGTGTAGTAACTGCTCAATTTTAAAGCTCTATACATTAAGGAATCGCCAACTTTCTTTGTATTGTTGTATTCATGTCAGCAGTTTCCAAAGAGGTTGGAAACAAAATCCATCCGGCCAGTGAAATGGACGATCCGCTTTTTCACTTTGAGTATGGGTTCTCGTTCATTTTGCTTCAGGTGATAGTATTTGCTTCCCATGAAAATTTCCTACAACGGATCTTTAAAGGAAAAGCTTCATCTCTTCAGAGTACTTTTCTGCTGACTGAGCTGGCAGCACTGTTCTCAGCTGTGGTTTACATGGCGAAACGAGACGAGAGAACGTTCAATAGATACAAGATCCGAAGTCTTCTGAAATCTACCACGGTAATTCATTCATTGAAATATGTCGCCGTTCAGGTAATAAACACCACCTTACAGTTGTTGACTAGCATTGAGAAGCCGGTTTCGGATGTGGTACAAGAACGCGGCAAAAATCAACCTGCCCGATTCGCCAGAGGAAGACGCACCAGGTAAACCAAACAAGAGAACATTTAATAGCTTCCAAGCGTTACCTGGGAATTCGATTTATAATGCTGTTGCCATCAGAATGAAATTCTTTGGATTTGTGAGAACACTCAATCAGTCATTTACACAAAAATGAAGAATCCCGTAAAAAGTGCTCTAAAGTCATATTTTCGATAGACTTCTAACGACATCGATATTTAGCCAAATAATGGATAGAGCGCCTTCATTCGACTCGCTAGCGTCTCCGCGGCGAAAAGCTTACGAGTACAGTGCTAGTAACGTGCAAAACCGTGGAGGTCTGTTTCTTACCGGGTTTGGCTCGGTCAGTTGTTTACACGCCCATTCATAATTTCCATTATCTGATCTCGCATGTACTGCAATAAAAACATCGTAGGCAATATATAGGAAAAATGTATATGATTTTTCTCGCAAACGTACATTACTGGTTGAAATGACTTACTAAAGCAGGGATGTCTATTGTTAGATGATTTAGGAGATTCTAGGTTTCATCGGTCACATCTCGCCAGAAAATATATATTCCACTGCCTTGCTCAGTTTGTACATGTTCTGTAATATTTCTGTGCCAGCACTACTTACTTGAACGTCTTTTTGTGAAAACCGCTCTTCGAGAATCTTTTCATCTTTCAGGGAACTTAGAATAGTTTTCACAGTGGCCAGAACTTCCAAGCTGTCAACTAGGAGAACAGCCAATTTTCGACTCCTTCCTTCTTTCGATCAGTTCCGAGGCTCTTCGTTTTCGACGCTTTGTTCTCTTCTTCGAATCTTTTAAAACCAGCCATGCACCTTAAGATCGTTCGAATTCTTGCGCCACATTCAAACTCGGATGTTAGCGAAGTTGTATTTAAGTCAAGGCTTGTAACATTGCTACAAAAATTATCCAAATCTTGCCATTTGCATGTAGTTAAGTGGAACCAACCAAGTATGAAGAGAAAAACATCAACAATCCATATTCCATCCCCTGAAATTGGGTTTGTTACCGGAATCCTGGAGAGAGGGGTAGCTTCAGAGCATGATAACCCTACAACTGGCTAACCTCGAGGTTCGAAATATATGCGTTTTGATGATCGAAGTTGGAGTTCATCAAAGTGCTCTTCGTAACTACAATCTCGTTGAGTTTACTCTACAGACTCGACACGAAGATTATGCTATCGTCTATGCCAAAGCCTTCAGATTAGACACAACTCAATTGAGAAAGAAGGATTTCAACAAAGAGTCTGCTGCATGTCACACATCCAAACCATGTGAAAATAGAAGTCTGCAATAAATACCACCTAATCTTCGTCGTATCTTTCTAGAATAGAAACCATTCGATAGCATCGAAGCAAATATAATCCAGTCAGCACTCCTAGGCGAAGGACTCTGTACATAAAAACTCTAGTCGACTGCTAGCGTAGCAGCGCCGCCAGTAGATATTCTACGGTGGATCAGAGATGGTGCCTGGAGAGCTTAACCAAGCTGGAGAAAGAATTCTGCTGCTAATAAACTCGAAGAAAAAACATATCATAGACAACCCATAATGCGACGATATTCAAACGAAAATGAGTGATTCTTGATTGAGGGATCACATCCTGCGTATATTGTAGGCATTCAACTAACATTCAGAACAAAATGATGAAGAAATAATTAGGGAAAAGAGCAGCAAAGAAGGAATTGACGCTTCTCAAAGAAGCCGCCACATCAACGACCACCAAAGAAGCCAATTGTCTACGAAACCCAAAAATCCTCAGTCATTTTTCTCAGAGCTTCGAAACCTATATAGACAAATGGGCGAAAAGAACACTAGAACGTTCTCCAGAAAGGATGTATGCATCCTCTAGGACGACCACTGGAAGGACAGATGGATGTGTTTTTTGAATAAAGTAAATAAACCATAGCCATAGTAAACAGAGAATTGGAAATTCTTGGACAACGGGATGATATTTGCAAACGTGAATATATTTGAAGGCAACCACCATTTTGAGCAATGATCACGACGGAAAGAAACTAATTGAAAATATTCTGAGGCAGTCGCGATGATGGACCGTCTAGGTACCCAAGTATGCAAGAATCTTAACGCAAAGGCATAAACCTTATTTGAATAAGGAAAACAAATTTTTACAAGACCGAAATTATTTTTCAACCAACATTTGGCTTTTATTTCCAGCCCCTCTTTACCGCAGGACACTATGAAATACAGCTACAGTGACGATATATGAGCAGAGCTGGGGAACCTCAGTTGCGCCTCGAACCTGTGCCTACCGTTCCCGGGGGGTTCATGTGTTCTCTACTGCATCATCGAACCCCTTGATTTGCTTTGTTGGTAGCACTGTTATGCCAAAAAACTGTCTGAGGGAAAGGCAAAGCAAAAGACTAGGAGGTGAAGCGGGTAACACATGAGCCTCCGCAAAGGGTGAACATGGGTTCGAATCTGGTCTAGGGCGCAAGTTTTAGAGACATCTTAGCATCATTGTGGTTATTCTCCGAATAGTTAAATTTGAAAAATTTAGTCTTCTGGGCACGTTCAACTCTAAGCGTTGAAGCGTAATATTTTTAGTAGAGAAGAACAAATTATTCATTACTCACATCTAACAACAAGGCCTCACTAATGACGTAGTTCACCACGACACTAATTCTAGGCAGCTAATTCTTAATAAGCATGCTGAAAACCTACAATAAAACTCTGATTCCACCATGAGTCACGGTATACGGCGTGGCAGCTGTAGTTGTACATCAATGGTGAAAGTCGCACAAAAGTGATCATCACCTTGCCAAGGAATTGAGTCAGAAGGAAAACTTTACCTTTAACTTTAGTTAAAACACTCAGCTTTTTTATTAGTGATCCTTTTTAGCACTGCCTATCACTGTAATCGCAGTTTGAAAAGAGGAAACTGTGGATTTTTGTGAATAACATATAAAACAGTGCATCGATGTAAAATATAGTGTTCAAAATGCCAGTTTTCAGAGCACACAGAGAGCTAATTCGAGAAGAAAATCAACAAGTACCGATACAATAAAGGAGGACATGAGTAGCCGTTGTGGAACGTCTTAATTTAGTTTTCTAGAAATTTTTTTCTAACAGGAGTTCTAGAAACACTCGAATAGGCCCGCAAATCTTCTGTGAAATATTGCAAAGGTCATATGTAGGTATGACAATGAAGACAGGATAGCACAGAAATGGTTGGCTTCTGCTATGCAATTATGTATGACATATGAAACATCTGAAAAGGACATTGTCAACACGTAAAGCTCTTGCTAAGCAGGGGTCTCGCACACTGGCTTCCAGTTGCGGAATTGAACCAGAGAAGTCGACGCCAACTAAATTCTTAGTAACGACAGTACAATTCCTAGCACCCACTTTCAAAAATTCCATACTTTCTTGATAAGCGCGCATGAAATTGTAAGGTACTTAAATTTCAACCGCATGGCAGACAAAACGACTTCATAGACTCATGGTTTTCTGTGTCTCTCCCAATGACTAAGTGTAGTAAGAATTCTAACTTACTGGGAAACTCATAAGAAACGGTCACAGTGTGAAGAAGCTGTTTTGTTTGAAATGAAGTTGGGATTTGGGTGTCGTGGCTTTTCTGTTGAGTTCATGGAGCCATTGGTAAATGCTAGCTATTTTGAATAAATAGTATGATAAAAACCAGTTGTCTGCTTATCAAGAAGGCAGCAAATTATCGATCAATGCTGGGGTTAGCAGAAAGTCGGTCTTGGGTTTTACTGCAAGTTGTATTGCACTTCAAAATTTCAAGTTACCTCCGTAAATGAATTGGAAATCTGCTAACTGTCAAATCTGGTGCAGTGAGAAGAAACTAGTTTTGGATTGCCAGTAGAATGTAGTTGTTCTGGCCTTACTTGTACTTGTTAAGAATTTATCATATTCACCTATACTTCGCCCTTCGGACCGTTCTTTCTCTCCAATCAACTAGCTCAATGGCAGAAATGGACATCCTAATAACAGTGCATAATAAAATAGACTGCACGCAATGTTCTACAAGAAAATTCTTCACTGATACGTGAGGTTAACGAAGGACTCCTAGGAGTTCTAGGAACAACTCAATAACGCAGTATTAATTCAGCCCTTTAATGCAGTATTAGTAAAGACGACTGATGAAAATTTCATCCTAAGCCATTATTATTCCTTCAAAATAGCGTCCTCTTCTTACGGCTTTTCTTAAAAGTTTGTTACTGAGCTGTGGATTTCCACCTCTCTCTCGCTGCTGTGTTTTTCTCAAACTTCCGAAGGAGGGCATTATTGTAACTTCTTAAGCAATGAATTATCAATCAATGCCGATGGTAGTAGAAAGTCGGTCTTGGGAATTTCAACATTTCCCACAGATTTCTCCCTTGAGAGATCCATGCACAGGAAACCAGATTCAGGGCTACGTGACATGCGTCCAGGCCACGAATAAAGGATTAAACGCAGATCAAAACCAAGTTTTTTAGTTGTTGCTTGCAACAATTGTTTGTTTTGGAAGAAACAGGAAAGCTACTAGTTGGTGTTGATTTTCAAAAAAAAAGAAAAATAAATTTACTTGTCGCCTGAGCCCGAAAGTGTTATCCGTTACACCTGCGTTGGGTATGGCGACCGCAGAGAAGATGCTAAATCTCAAGGTCATTCACGGCTGATTAAATCTATACTTAAAAAACGATTGATGACCTGAAGATCAGCCTTTATAACGTGAGCACACTATGAATACTATACAAAGACTAACATGACAGATGGTGCGAAAATTAAACTAGGCGTCATACGGCTGACAGAGAAGGCACAACTTCTCCCAGTAAATCTGAATTATGATGCGACAGAGGAAATGTTCCTTAAAACGTACGATAGTAGACAAGTTAGTGAATTTGTCCATATTAGTTTTGCCATGAATATCGATTCATTCCACTAATGACCCAAATCGCTTCATAACGGTTGAAGAGATCTGAATGAACAAATTGATCTGAACCGGGTATGACCAGACCAGAAGATCTGCATAACATACTTGGCTGTATTTAACACT